TCCAGGGGAAGGATACTGCAAAATCCCCATTCCTTCCCCACTCCAGGGGAAGGATACTGCAAAATCCCCATTCCCTCCCCACTCCAGGGGAAGGATACTGCAAAATCCCCATTCCTTCCCCACTCCAGGGGAAGGATACTGCAAAATCCCCATTCCCTCCTCACTCCTGGGGAAGGATACTGCAAAATCCCCATTCCTGCCCCACTCCAGGGGAAGGATACTGCAAAATCCCCATTCCCTCCCCACTCCAGGGGAAGGATACTGCAAAATCCCCATTCCTACCCCACTCCAGGGGAAGGATACTGCAAAATCCCCATTCCCTCCCCACTCCAGGGGAAGGATACCGTAATATCTCCATTCCCACCCCACTCTGGGGCCAGCCCGAGGTGGTATTTACCAGGTCTCCGAATTAATCAAAATTTCCACTACCGGTTCTCCAGAACCTGCTGAATTTCACCCCTGCTCTTGGGTCGCTGATAAAGGAGAAATGTTGAGGTACAATTCCATAAGAGAGGAAATCTCTTAGTATGCAGATTCCTTTTCTAATATCTCAGTAGCCAAAGGATCCTCAAAAGAAACCCTCTTATAATTATAAGTCCGTTTGATGCACGCAGCCAAGGGTTTTTGCAAGAAATCAACACCGCATTTTTAATACTTACATTTTAACACAGGTAGCAATAACATGACAATGGAAATAGTCAGCAATGACTAGGGGAGTTGTTTCCTTCCCAGATATATGAGGAGTGAAACATTTCTCAGATTTCCTTTGGGTGGGAAGTTTCTAAGATGTCCAAATTGAATCTGTACATGTGTGTGGGTGTTTGTGGGCCACTGCAAGGGGTTCATAGAGGCTACCTTAGCTGTCACACCTTTCCTGGGTGAGGCAGCTGAGTCCAGCAGTCACCAACTGGTGGTCCGCAAGAAAAGTTTGGTGGTCTGCAAAAACATCATTTGCATTTTTTATATTGCACTAAATCAGGGGTCCTTAAACTATGCCCCCTGGGACGGATACGTGCAATGAACGCTTGTGTTGTTGCAGAGACTCTCCCCCTTCGGGGTCTTTTTGTGTGGGTCAGAGGGGGCAGAAATTCCAACTGCTTCAGCCTCCTGGTGTGGGGCTTGGGCGAAGGCTGGAGGGAAGCGCTACTGATGGCTAAGAGAGGATGGGCCTGGTTTTAGTGGGACAGCATCATGGCCTGGACCTGGCTGACCATCTCAGCCCAGTGAGCCTCCAGGCACTGGTACCTCACCTTGCACTCCCGCAGGTCTCTCTGCTTGGAAAGCCTATGCTCGTAGTCCTCAGTGAGGTGCTTCTTCTCACCCTCTTTCTCGGTCAGATTAAGGTGACCAGACGTCCCGCTTTTGGCGGGACACCCCCGCTTTCCAATGCATTTTCCCCCGTCCCGCANAAAGGTC